AAGCGTTATTGATGTTTATCAAGTATGGAAATTGTTATGTCTAAATGATGGTATATATTTAAATCAAATCAATGATTGTTAGGGAAAGCTTATCACATTATGTCTTTGTTGTTCCTTGCTTCTAATTGCTTCTGCCATATTGGTATATATATGGCATAACGTTATATTGTATCTATTATTGAACTCACTAAGCGTTATCGCTTACCCCTCCCAATGTTTTAACATAACGCAGGCAATAAGCACCCAGTATAGTTGGAAGACTTAGAATAGTTTGTAATAATACTTTTGTACTTCAGTTCATGTATGTATAAAATTACAATATCCTGGGTAGTCATGTAAAATATTAAAACATAGTCGGTTTGTATCCAATCTTTTGTAATGACTTTATCAATGTAAAAATATTGTTTTATGAATATGCATGTAGCATGTTTTGGAGTAACTATATTGTCAAGTATGAAAGTTTGGGTCTTTCAGAAATATGAAAGTATAGAAAGGGGTTCTTTCAATTGCAGGGCGATTGAGATTCGGTAGTAGCGGTGGCTGGGAGCCAGTGGCAAAATGCCAGTAGTTGATATGTATGACTGAATGTATTTCATATGTTTATGGATATGATGTTTGGAATATCAGTGTTAGAGCTGAGGATTTGTGTGGATATATTGTATGTATGGTAGATTATGTGGTATACTGGAGAAATCACTAAGCTTTAAGCTTTATTGAATCCTTCCACACAAACTCCTCCAAATGGACGAAAAAAGCTTAGATCCTAAGTTTTTACAAGAAAAAAAACTAACAAGATATGGATAAAAGGACTTAAAAAGGTCCAAAAGTTGCTAAAAGGGATTCCTTGAGCTAGCTAAGAGGTTCCTTTCACCACAATGCTCTTCTTCTTCTTTCAAAAGTCATCAAGAACACCCAAATGAGCTCAAAATGAATGCAAGGGATTAGAGTTTGCTCTCTGGACTTGGGAGGGTGATGAAGGCCGAGAGTGGATGAACCCTAGCCATCACATCCTTTAAATAGGGCCCAAGGCCCGAGATCTAGGGTTTGAGCCCTAGCCCCACCACGCCGCGACAAGGATCTCACTGCACCGTGGTCATCAAATGATCACCACACCGTGGTGACGGGAAAAATCCTAAACCAACACACTGTAAGACATCAAAAGTTATACATGAAAACCGAGTGTTACATTATTTTTGGAGTTTTGACTTTGGGTTAGTATGATTATTCTCATAAAAAACCCTTAAATATTTTACCTCAAGACTACTCACTAGGCTTGAAGATGAGCATGTTTGGCTCGAGAAGGGAAAAAGATGACATGTGAGGACAAGAGGATGGCTACAATGAGAACCTTTTGCTGATCTAGGAGAAAAATATAGAAGACATGGAGAGGTGAGGGATGAAGATCGCGATGGAGAAAAACACCGTTCCTTTCTATGGTGGTAGCACACCAAAAAAATTTCCTGTCTTGCTCATACTTAAGGATAATACTTAGAGGATACCGACCACCTTTATAAGCTAAAGATGGACACATAAGTTGCAGAAATCTTAAATAATAAGATACTTTTGAACTTGGGTTTAATACAGGGATATAATTGGTACGGTATAGATTCTTTTTTGCCTAAACCGTGTACCGTACCAACTATAGTTGGTATAAAAAATTTGCTACCAGTAACGTACCATCTATACTTGGTACCAATATATTAGGCTACCAACAAGTTTGATTGGTATAAATTAGTAATGGTATATACCAACTTCTTTCAATTTTCTATTGTAAGATTTAAAAATAAGCAAAGACATCGATTAATTTTCATGTTCAGTAAGAAATTAGTTACGTAGTTCTTTTAATTTACAACAGAATTCTATTGAAGTAACGCTAAAGTAAACTTTTAATTTTGTGCACTAACATGGTAATAATTATTGACTAATGTGACCAAATGACTTACATAATGTTCTTAAAACTGTAAACACTAAACACAATTAACAATTGAAATATATGATTTTGTTTATATATATATATACACACACACACACACACACACACTAAATGAATTGGTTAATATAGTATTACTATGGTATTCAAACTTTTTGTATCATTATCGTACCAAGATTGCTTAATTCGTATGGTATTACCAACCAAACATGTTGGCTATCATATATATTGGCTACCAACTTTTTTGGTTCGGTTGGTAACATGTTGGTTGGTTTTTCATGCATAACGTCCCAAAATTTAATACCAAAATTCATAATAATAAAATCACCAATCAAACATGTTCATAAATCCATAAAAGGAAAATAGAGTATATCAATCAGACATTCCAAATACATCAGAGTCAAGTAAAACGGAAATCATGGTGTGTGTGTGTGCGATGCGATCATCCCGAGCTCTTCCCCTTCGATATGGAAGTACCTGAAACATAAACTGAAAACCGTAAGCACGAAGCTTTGTGAGTTCCCCAAAATACTGCATACCATACATATCAGCCTGCTCAAGACTGCGTCGGGTCTATTTCACCACCGAGTCTATTTCAACTCATCTGTCGGCCCAAGGCCGTACTGGGTCTATTTCAACCTCGGGTCTGGTTTACCCTCGAGTCTATATCAAATAATATGTCAGCACAAGGCTGTACCGAGTCTATTTCACCCCTGGGTCTATTTCACCCCACATACATATAGAAAACGGATACACATGCATATAACACATACAACATGAGTCACAAAGACTACAATCACATACATATCCTAGTGTACTACAGTATAGTGAACAAACTCACCTCAGTGTACTGACAGTCTAACAAATGATCGGGCTACTTAACCGGAAAATCCTCGCGTTAGTCAATCAAATAAAGATCCCAATTAATAATCGGGCCATAAACCTTAACTAGGAATCTAGTTCACTTGTCCAATACCTAAGGTGAAAGACCATTTTACCCTTTCCTTACTTGACCCAAAAACCAAGGCCCAATTTAATGGCTCCAAAAGCCCAATCTGGCCCATATTCCTAAATGACACCTAAAGCCCATTATGGTTCAATTCCAAGGATGCCCAAATCCTAAAAATGGCCCAAAGTCAGAAAGACTAGTGGCCCAACAAGACCCGAAACCCTAATAATCCAAATACGACCCAAAACCCAAAAGTTAAAGCTGCTGAGTACGCCCGACGTACCCAAACTTACGCCCTGCGTACGCCATCTTTGGCCAGTACGCGCTGCGTACGAGCTGGGTACGCCCAACGTACTCCACAACAAGACCAAATTGCTATTAAATGCTTAATTGGTTAAGCCACTATGCCAAATTCTCAGATCTGATCCTAAGTGATGTCTTAACACTTAAAGTTGGCAACTTTACTCCTTTGCATGCCTTAATGGGACCCAAACTCAATAAAATCCCATAATAAGAACCCTAACTCATGCATGGTCCAATATAACACACCAATATTGCATTTTTATGAACAAGGGATTTGTTTTTATGCTTTTTTCTGGTCCATAATAAAAGTATGCCCAATGTAATCTTAGCGTACGCCCAACATACTCTTAGCGTACGCCCAACGTACTCGGTTAGGGACCAAAATGCCAAAGTTTTAAGGCTGAGGGCTAAAAGGAAAATACATGGAATGTAAATGTTACATCGTGGTACAATTTAGATAACCCAGGTTTAATATCATAAAATAATCTTATATATTGTGGATTAAACCTTAACTATTGTATTTTTTTTCCTGAAAAAGACATTGTATCTTAATATTTTTTTTTTAATTTGACAATTTTAACGGTTTTTTTTATTTTTTTTCATTTTTTTTGTTTTTACGAGGTTCTTTGGAAAAAATAAAAAATTGAGTGTTTTTAATAAAAAAATAAAAATTATTTTTGAAAAGAATAAAGGAAATCTCCATAAAAGTACTAATATTTTACCCTAATTTACGCAAAAAGCCCAAACTAAAATTTGTTTACGGAAAAGCATGAAATACCGGTAAAAATGACGATTTGATTTTTTTCCGGTTTACCGGTTTCATTACTTACCTGGTTCCATTAAAGTCCAATTATTTTACCATAATTTACGAGTAAGTCACAAATTAAAATTTAGTGATGATTTGACCCATTTTCCATGCAACATATATTTTACCGGTTTCATTGCTGACCTGGACGCTTAGTCATTAAATGAGCTAATGAGATGAATATGCTGGGTTATATAATGTTATGTTTACCATAAAACTTGATATCCTGATATATTGTATATTTTTTGGAATATAAAATACATCCAACAAAGTCTGCAATAATTACATAAACTAGCAACAATTTCGTCATTTTTTTTACGTTTATAAGAAATTTGAAATTGTCTATCTAATCTTATGTAATCCAATATATATTCATTTAATCAGTCATCATCTCATTTCCTATCCATATTTTCTTGAAAACATACATTTTACCGGTTTCATTGCTGATTTAGATACATAGTCATAAATGAGCCGATGAGATGGATATCAATTTTTTTTAGTAAATGTAGCATTATATAACATATCGTATCCATCTTATCAACTAATTTAATGACTAGACGTCTAAGTTAGTAATGAAACTAATAAAATGTATGTTACATGGAGAAAAGAGCCAAATCATCATTAAATTTTAGTTTGAAACTTATTTATAAATTAGAGTAAAATAATAAGATTTTAATGAAACCAGTAAATCAGGAAAAATATGATAAAATCGTTATTTTTACCGGTAATTTATGTTTTTTGATAAATAAATTTTAGTTTAAGACTTTTTCATAAATTAAGGTAAAATATTATAATATTTTATAAAGATTTCCTAAAAATAAAACAATACAAAATCGTTTTTAGAAAAAAAAAAAAGAAAAGAAAATTAAAGTCAATTTAACCAGGAAAAAAAGCCGGTATATTTTTGAAGTTTATACATTCGTTAGGGTATTAGTACTTCACTTCCAGTCTTCAATGATTCTGAAAACCAAAACCATTCCAGAATTTCTTCCGTTCTCTGGAGCAGATCAAAAATGGAATCAGACCCACGCCGGATACACGCTCGAGTCATCAAAACCTACAACGCCGGCACCTCCGAGTTCCGTTTCCAGCTCAACAATCTCATAACTCTCTACATAAACTCTCACCTCCTCCCCAACGCCGTTCGTCTTTTCCAACAAATCAAATCCCCCAATGTCGTCTCATGGACAACCTTCATCTCCGGCCACTCCAACACTCCCGCCGCTCTCAGCCACTTTGTCTCCATGCTCCGTCACCCCACCCTCCCCAACCAGCGCACATTAGCAATTGTTCTCAAAACCTGCGCTTCTCTCCCTGCTCTTTCCTTTGGCCTCCAGCTTCATGCTCTCTCTATCAAACTCTCACTTACAATCGAACCCTTTACCGCCTCAGCCCTTATCCATTTTTACTCGAAAACCCATCTTCCCAATAACGCCCAAAAAGTGTTCGACGAAATTCCTGACAGAGACGCGGTTTGTTTTTCATCTGTAATCGTCGGGCTCGCCCAGAATTCAAAACCCATCGATGCTTTATCTTATTTTGCTGAAATGAGAGCTTCTGGGTTCGACTCCACCGACTACAGCGTCTCTGCTGCATTGCGTGCGTCAGCAGAACTAGCCGCCTTAGAACAATCTAAGATGATTCATACCCATTCTGTTGTCACCGGCCTTGATTCAAATGTGATTGTCGGAACTGCTTTGGTAGATGGATACGGGAAATGTGGAATGGTAAACGATGCACGTTTGGTGTTCAATGAACTTGTTTCAGTCTTGAATCTCATAGGGTGGAATGCAATGATGTCAAGCTACGCACAACAAGGGGACAAGGATTCAGTCATGGAACTCTTTTCATCAATGGAGCATCATCAAGGTCTTGTACCCGATCAATACACTTTTCTCTCTATCATGACAGCATTTTGCAATGCGGGTTTGGTTGATGAAACAGAACGATGGTTCAGAAAGATGGAATCAGAATACAAATTGGAACCATGGATTGAACATTACACATGTTTGGTAGGTGCAATGGGTAGATCTGGGAGGTTACAGGAAGCTAAAAAGATTGCTTTAACAATGCAAAATCATAAACCCGATGCTGCAATGTGGAGGGCATTGTTGTCCACTAGTGCACACCATGGTGATATAGAAATGGTCAAAGAAATGAGTCAAAGGCTACAAGAAATTGACCCACAAGACGATTCTGCTTATGTGATTGCTGCAAATGCCTTTTCTAGTGTTGGAAAGTTGGAAGAAGTGAAAACAGTGAGAAAATTGATGAGAGAAAGGAGAGTGAAAAAGGAAGGTGGGTTGAGTTGGATAGAAGTTTGTGGTCAAGTTCATGTCTTTTTAGCAGGAGATCGTAGACATGAACAGACAAATGAAATTTACAGAAAGTTATGGGAGTTAATGGAGAAGATAGTGAAGTTAGGGTATGTGCCTGTTTGGGATGACATGTTGCATGAGGTAGGGAAAGAGGAGAAGATTGAAGCACTTTGGAATCATAGTGAGAAATTGGCGTTGGCGTTTGGATTGGTTGCTGACGTGGGGCCACGTGGAAAGGCGTTGAGGATTGTTAAGAATCTAAGGATTTGTAGGGATTGTCATGAGGCGTTTAAGTATATTAGTAGAGTGGTGGAGAGGGAGATTATAGTGAGGGATGTTAATAGATACCATAGGTTTTTTGATGGTGGTTGTAACTGTGGAGATCATTGGTGATTTGTGCATAGATTTTTCAAAGAGTTAAATATCTTTCAAGGATGCTTATGATATTGTTCGTATAGATTTATGACCCGTGATAGATGATAAGGAAAAGAGTGAGGGAACATCCCAGGCCCAGCCCAAGAATGGAGAGTCCAATGAGCCCAAAGGTGGATAATCCAATGAGCCCACAACCTGGGAGGTGTACAAGAGGAGGCAAAAAGAATGACAGCTTCATGGCGTCTCCACTATGGATTCCGTATGACTGAAGAGAGAGAGGGTAGTTTATCTGAAAAGAGAGCAGCAGTATCTTTTCGGTTTTTGTCTTGTTTTATTTTTTCTAGTATGAATTTCGGCTTTTAAAGCTTGGGCAGGAAGAACCCTAGATTGATTCTTCTCTGATTACCCTTTATATCATTGAATACAATTAAGCATTTGACTCAAACTGATGTTTCTACTTGTCCATTGTTTCTCTTTTTGTTTTCCTTGGCTTGTTTCTTATAAATTTGGTTCCATTGTTGGGAAATCAAACTCGTCTACCCCTCCTTCCACCATGGTACAACCCACCGAAGCATAGATCCAAACCTAGTTGCAAACCACAATCAACTCCCATGAAGGGAGGGTAGACCAACTCAACACCCAAATGAAGACGATGGAGAGGATGATAGCCAACATACAAACCACATCTTCCACACCGCACAAACAGACCGGTAGCGACGTGTCCGTCATCCGTAATCCAACCTCCGACACGAAAGAAAATCCCCTCATCATCAACCCATGACAACCCCACCCCCAAAAGAATGATGAATCACTATTATCACTTCCCAAGGTCAAACTTCCTACCTTTGAAGGGATAGATGCTCGTGGTTGGGTAGCAAGGCTCACGTTCACAAGACTCCCTCCAATCAGAAGTTGAATCTTTCCCAAATGTGCATGGATGGGTCTATACTTCATCGGTATACCAACCTTCTGATTCGATACCCCGATACCACGTGGGAATAGTTCCGATTGAGGCTCCTGATTGCTTCAGTGGTACGAAGTAGCGTAACGCCCATGAAGCACTTGGTTCGTGGTTCCAAGAGGAAGATGTGGAAGAGTATATTGAAGCTTTTGAAGCCATATCTGCCCTAATTCCCGATCAATTAGAGGAACAATCGATTGGTTGGTTCATGAGGAGACCGAAGAACGAAATTCGTAACTAAGTTCGCACCTTGAGTCCTTCGTCATGAGATCAAGCTATGGAATATGCCAGAAACGTCGAAGCGACAATGGGGACTGAGACAGAGAAGGTGTCTTTCCGTCAACGCTCGGGTCCTACTCAATTGGGCTCATCCATTACCAAGACTGATGGCCCACTTTCCAACTTAAAATATACCACTCAACCCAACTCAAAACCCACTTCTATTTACCGAATCACCATACCACCCTTACACATTCGAACCCCAAATACACACCATTGGACTTCGCAAAAGTGGGATGACAGGCGCAGGAAGGCATTGTGTTTCAAGTATGGGCTCAAATACTCTCCCCATCACAAGTGTGCAGATGGAAGGCTACGAGTACTCCTCCTTGCTGACGGCGAGGCACTCGACGATGATGGGCACGTATTTCACGTTGATGCCGTCAATGAGGTGGAAGATGAATCATGTATTGAAGGTGAGTCTCTCTCTCTCTCTCTAGCCAGGTGGATCTCCAACGATTTCAACGCCTACCTTATGCACAATCAAGTTTGCAGGAGAAATAAACGACATACCAGTTCTAGTAGACAGCGGGGCTTCGCACAATTTCCTCTCTAAACGGTTGGCTATTTCTCTAGGGCTAATCATCCAACCCATTTGTCGGATTAGCATAAAAATGGAGGACGTTAGAAGGGTTTGAATGTCCAAACAATGTAAGGCGGTTCCAATCAAGCTTGGTTCTTTTTCTTCTACCGTCGACGCCCAGTCATGTGGGACTATCCTCCTTTCTTACTAATATCAAGGTCCACTCCGACCACCTCTCTATAGCCGTTGTATCATCGACATTATCTATGGCTCACTAAACCAACTTGATGAACTCATTTAGAGATTTTATGCTTTGTTTTTGGCTCCAAAAGGCATCTCACCATCCTGATCGATCAAACACTCCATCAATTTACTTGAAGGGCTTGGACCAGTTTGTCTGAATCCATACGACACCCCCCACCTACATAAAGACGAGATCCAAAGACAAGTGTAGGAGATACTGGAGCAGGAAATTATCAGGCCTAGCCAAAGTGCCTTCTCGAGCTCAGTGATCCTCGTAAAGAAAAATGTCGCTTCTTAGAGGCTATGCATCGATTATCATGCCTTGAATTGAGCCACAATACTTGATAAGTACCCAATTCCCGTTGTTGAAGAGCTCATTGATGAACTCCACAATAGTCATTTATTCTCCAAGATTGGTCTCAAATCGGGATTCTATCAGGTGCGAGTTTGTGAAAAGGACGTTGAGAAAACAGCGTTTCGCACCCACAACGGTCATTACAAATTCCTCGTAATGCCGTTCGGGCTCACCAATGCCCCCACAACATTCCAAGCACTGATGAATAACATCTTTCGACATTATTTGAGAAATGGAGTTCTGGTATTTTTTGACAACATTCTAGTGTATAGTAGTAGCACATGGGATGTGCATTTAACTCTTCTCTCCGAGGTTCTTTCAATTCTCCAGGCACATCAGCTGGTCATCAACAAGAAAAACAATACATTTGGAAATCATTCAGTTGAGTATTTAGTGTTGAATTTATATGCCTAAGAATCATTATGGAGTGATATTGCTAATAATATATCATCTTATAGGGTCACATCTTTATCAAATTGACACATTTTGTATATTTATTATTAATAAATGATATCAATTCTTGTATTTAATTAGGGAATAATTATTGTTTTGTGAAAGTAATAATTATAAGAGAGTATAACTAGTTATTATTTCATATTGTATGAATTAATAAGTCATGTACAACCTTTTAGACTAGTTGGATCTTTTTTGTCTTTTACCTAAAGACAAAGTTTATAAAATTTAAAGAATCCTTCTTCTTTATGTATGGCCGAAACTTTATTAGAGGTGTGGAGGTTGCTTGTCAACCTCCATACCTTGTCTCCCATGCTTATTCTATTAGCAATTACTTTAGAGTATTTTAATGGTTAGCCTTTACTTTGCATGAAGAATTTAAAGGAGTGCATTGCATGAGTTTTGATCTAGTTGTATTAATCTTAGAATCACTATCTTCTTCCCTCTTCTCTGTCACCAAAATCGTAAGATGCATGATGCATCTTCTCTTGCTTTTTTTTGAAGATTATTCAATTCTTTGGTGGCTTAAAGTGTTTCTTCTTTAGTTCTTATTTGAGTTAAGCACTTAAAGGCTTAAGAAGTACTTTATATAAGAAGGAACTAGCATACCAAGTGCCTTACTCTTTATGGTGGATACACATAGGGAAATTCTACTCTTGAATTTTTGCTATCTTTATCAACACCCCAAAACCAAGTGGGTTCAAAGGCTTCAAAGGTTGTCATTCTAAAAACTGTTGGTAGTTTTTATTTCATTCTAACCTCTATAAATGGATCCTTGATGGTTTGGTTTTGTTATAAATTAAAAGTAAATTTGTTATTTTTATAAGACTTCCGTTGCGGGTTTTGTGAAAAACAAACTTATATTTTGTATCAAAACTGATCACTTGTATCAAAACCATCTTTTATATGTTAGAATGATATTTTATATTTGATAATCTTTGGTTTTTGGAAAACAAGCATGTATTTCTTTTGGTTAAAAAATATCCATATTTGTCTTCTTTGGCAACTTATTGGTTAAAATTGTTTTTTTTTGTATATAACCATTTTTCATGCACTTTAGTTATATAAAAGTTTCTTTAGAAAAAACAAAGAGTTGTTTGTTATAATATTTGATATGTTGTTGTGTATAAACAAACCATTTGGACATTTGTTTTGTGTTTGGTTGATATTTATATATTCATAAGATGTAATAGATAAATATGTATTTTTTTTTTTCATTTGTTGATTTGTTGTAATAAATTACTTAGATTAGTTGTATTTCTTTTTAAATGTAACAAGATGAAGAAATGGCCTCCTTGAAGACGACTTAACCATTTAAGACCATAATCCCAACCATAAACTTCTACTTTTGGTTTTGGGCTTAATTATAGTCTTAATGGTTTAAGTGTTGCAACTTTCACAACATGAAAATTTGAAGTCATTTTGCAAGCAAAAGTTGACTTGGCAAGTGGACCGCTCTCCGGGACTGGCTGGACCGCCTCACAGGGCCTACACCCTATCCAGACCGCTCTTCGGACCTTCGGCCTGACTGGACCTCCTCGCAGGGCCTACAACCTATCCGGACCGCCCCGGGTATCTTGGCCTTCAACACAAAGCAGGACCGTGTTAGGAATCGGACCGGGTACACGCAGCGGAAACACACTATCACACACACAAACACACGAAGGAAATAAAGCAAGAAGGAACACAAGGATTTTACGTGGTTCGGATTCGGTGTAAATCCTACGTCCACGGGCGCAACTAGATTTTATATTAACCCACTATAAGATTACAAATGGTAATATCACTCGGCACTTTTGTTGTTCTACGCTACATCGCTCTTCTTACAATTCATATATATATATATATATATATATATATATATATATATATATATATATATATATATATATATATATATAATATATATATATATATATAGGAGAGAGCCGTAAGCCTTTTTCTTTTGTTTACACAAATTGCCGCTATATTTGACTAGAATATATATATGCCGCAAAGTTTGAAAAAAAAGAATGCGTTGATTTCTTTAGCCGTCCAAAATAGAGCCGCCGTCCACTTCAATATTATTAAACAATTGATAGTGCGTCCAATTCAATATTCAATTGTTTTAATTTACAAGTTTCATTTATGGCCCTTGAACTCTTAGGAACTTGTCAATTTGTTCATGACTCCATAAATCTTAACAATCTCCCACTTGGAGACTT